TCAGTTTTATGTCTGTCGGTCCTTTTCCTATTGTCTGTCTTCCCTCTGCCCTCTAATTCTTTCTTAAGTATTTTCGTGTGTGCCCAACTGAGCACCCTTAGGTAGTGCCAAACAGTCGGTAGTTCCTCGTTTGGAACGCCAACTGCACTCTTAGGGGGGGCGCTCGGTTCGGGATGTCTGTGTTGCCTGTAGGTGATGACGGATGCTCGTCAGAGTGTCTCCCTGGCTCAGTGGGTGGTGGGAACCAACAGTCTGTGGGGTTCACCCATGGTGTGAGTAGGTGATGTGCTGCTTTGCTCCGTGTTGGATGTGTGGACGACCCCGTCTGCGCTCCACCACTGCCTTGCTGCCCGTTCCGCTTGCCTCGCAGGTTGTTCTTGGCATGCTGCTGTCTTCGCTGTGTGGTGTGGCCGGGTTGTGGTGTTGCCTTGCGCTTCGCTGCTTCGCTGCCTTGCCGCCCATCCGCTGGTTGTGCCTTCCGGGTCCTTTGCTTGCGCGCCCTGTAGTTTGGTGGGCGTGTTGGGGTTGCCTTGTGCTCCTCAGCATGGTCGCTCTGCTGCTTGTCCGCTTGCCCTCTCGTCCCTTGCAGTGTGGTTGTCTTGGTGGTGTTGCCGGGTGATTCACTGCTTGGGTGCCGTGCTGCGAGTTCGGTGTGCCGTCTCGTTCCTTGCAGTCGTTTTTGGCGTTGTGCAGCCGTGTTGCCTCTACTGCGCTGCCTGGTGCCCCGCAGGGTTGCTGCCCGCTGCTATGTTCCGCATGGGGACAGTCTGCCTTCAACAAGGGTCAAAGGGTTCATGACCCAAACCATCATATACGGAGATTCCGCAGATTGTCGAGGGTTCAGCCTCCTGATGAGTTGGTGCAGCTCCAACGAAACAATCTTGTCATCATCAGTTTATTTTTTTCGGTCTTCCAATTTACTTGGGACTTGTATTTTTTTCGGTTTACCTGCTTTCGTGTGCTTGTGTCTGTTTCGTGTCCTTGCATGTTGTCTGCCCTCCCGCCTCCCCTGTGCCCTCCAGCCTATGCCTTGATGTCCTTTTGCTTGCTTTGCTCTGATGTTTTTCTTGTCTGCCTGGTCTTGGCATCCTTTTGGGACTTTGCCTGTTGGTGTGCTTGCACGTTGTCTGCCCTCCCGCTTCCCCCGTGCCCTCCAACTGTTGTATCTTTAGTATCTATGTTGTGGGCACTCTGTGTCTTTTGCTTGTGAGTGCACTTGACTGTGAAGTGTTGGAACGCATCTTAGGGAGGTAATGTTGAGTCTAGTCCCTGGGGAAAACCATGTCTTGGTGTGAAGCTGATAACTGGGGTTATCAATATACTTAAACATCACACACACACTAGCCATCTATTCTCTCTTTTTGTGGTTGGATATGTCTTGTTGGTTTTGTTGATTATACACGGCCTAATTCTTTGCCCTGCTTTAGAGCATGGGCTGTTTGGATGTTTACGGGTGGCCACAAGTTATCTTTGGTGGGAATGTATGTTTTGTGGGCCGGCGTGGAAGGCTTTCCCAGTTTGTTCGGACCCTTACCAGGGGTGGTCGGTGCGTTCTTGCTGGAGGAGTCTTCTGTCTTAGGTAAGTTGTCTCTTATCTTCTTCCTCCTCTTTGGCAGTGACGCGAGTATGTAGTTCGATATGAATGCCGGGAATTCCAATGCTGTTATGTTTGATTGATTTTGGTAAATGATTTTTTGGTTTTGTGGACCGATGCAGAAGGCTCTCCAAGTTTTTTCAGACCTTTGAGGGGGTCGGGTCGGTACCCTCTTGCTGGAGTAGTCTTCTGCCTGAGGTAAGTTGCCTTCTGCCCGCCATCCCCTCATGGTTTGAAATATATATGTATACATATGTATATGTGCAAGTGTGCCGCTTTGTCCGCAGACGCGTTTGTGGGCACTTGGCGCTGAACCACACAAACGTGGCCAACCTTGGATTTTCTATGATATTGCCTATCTAGACTTTTTCGTTATGGCTGACTTGTGATGATTTGTGAAGGGAATAAGAGAGAGAATCTGGGGTCTTTTTAAACAACACACACACACACACACACACACACACACACACACACACACACACACACACACACACACACAATCATATTATCTATAACATGATTAACATCCCTTCTTCTTCTCTGCCTAATTATTTTCTTTATGTGGTCTACTTTGCATGTGCTCTCCTGAGTGTCTATTTGCAGCACCTTCGAGATGTGCCAAATGGTCAGTACACCCTTGTTAAAGCGCCTGCAATAGTATTAAAGGGGGATGCTGGTTTGCGTGTCTGCGTTCAGTGGTGATGACAGCCATCGGTCAAAGTGACTCCCTGGCTATGATGCTGGCGTGAACCTACAGTATGCAGAGTTCTACATCTGGTATGCATGGGTGATCAAGGGACGCTGGACCCGGTTTCCAGCAGGTGATGCTCCCCACCAATAGATGGAGTTGGTTTCAAAAAAAAAAAGAAAAAAAAAAAAAGGGGTGATGGTCTGCTTTGGTTTGTGCTGATTGGTGGACTGCCTTGTTGGAGCTGCCCCACTGCCTGGCTGGCCTTCCTCTTACTTCCTGATGCTGTGTTGCTTGTCCTTTAAACCCCTTTTGCTTTGTGTTTTTGCCTTTTTGTCCTCTCTCCTGGCTTGGCTGCCCCACGGCGTGTCTGCCAGTGGGCGCTGACTCTCCTGCTTGCTGGATCGTGTGTCTGGCTGCTACTTGCTTGCTGCTTTGTCCTTTTGTCACCATGTCTGCCCACCCACCTTCCTCCTCGCCCTCTGCTTTCTATTTTTTGTTTTTGGACACAACGATTAAAGAGTGAAAAAGTTCTCCATCCAACATGCGAGAGACCGCAAAGCGTGCTTAGAAAGCCTCATGAGAGAATTAGAAGAATGGGATGAGGAACTCATGAAGGACCCGCTGCGCTGCCCTTCGTACGACAAACTGCAAGCAGCCCGCGACCACCTTCAGGCATACATCGATCAGCAGGCGCAAGCGTGGAGAGTGCACGCTAAAATTAAAAAGCAGCACACGGATGGGACGATGGCAAAGACCTTTTTTGCAAAGGCCAGAGCGAGGTCCAGAGCAGCCACAATTCCCAGATTAAACCACCCACTGGATAATCACGCTTTGCCAGCAACCAATGCATACGCAATTACAGACTATGCCGCCAAATATTATAGCAACTTATTCACATCGGAAACGCCCGCCAAGCACCCAGACCAAGTACATCAAGCAAGGCAAGCTCTTTTTCAGGCTGTCCACTCGTCCTTAACACAATAACAAAAAGCCATCTTGGACAAGCCCATAACCCCGGAGGAGCTCTGGGACGCCCTACAAGGCATGGACGACGAGAAGACGCCTGGAATAGACTCCTTCCCGAAAGAGTTTTGGGTCTGCTTCTGGGATCTACTCAAAGATGATCTCAAGGAATTCCTAGACGCGGTGCCAAAAGAAGGTTGCTTTGGAGGCATGATTGGCCAAGGGGTAACCACCCTTCTATATAAGAAAGGGGATAAAGAAAACATAAGGAATTATAGACCTATCACGCTGCTTCTAGTCCCCTACAAGATGGTGGCTAAGGTCCTCAACAATAGGTTGTTTCCCTTCATGAATATGCTGATTCACCCGGATCAAACAGGGTTCATGCCCAATCGGAACATTCAGGACAATATCCTGTTGGTCAATGAGACCATCAAATATGCCCGCCAGCGAAGGGTCCAAGCAGCGATCCTTTTTATAGACTTCGAAAAGGCATATGACCATGTGGATTGGGACTTCTTAGATATGTGCCTGCTCAAAATGAACTTCGGTCCCGCCTTCTGCCAATGGGTACATCTCATGCACAGATCGGCCACAACTAATATAATGCCGAATGGACACCTCTCACCGCCGATTCGCCTTCAAAGATCGGTACGCCAAGGAGACCCCATTGCGCCTCTGTTGTTTGTCATTGTTATGGAGGCCCTGGCATCGATGATCAGAACACACCCTGGTCTCAGTAAAGTGCCTATTCCAGACCTACCCCACCATCTCATTCCGGTGACATCACTCTTTGCGGACGACCTTACCGTACTAATACGAGCTGACTCAGATAGCATTCAAGCCCTCGCCCAAGTTATCCATCTTTTTTCGCTTGCAGCAGACATGAAGGTCAACTGGGGCTCCAAGACTGAGGGTTGGTGGCTCCACCCCCAAGGACAACCTCCACCACCCCAGCCTTGTGTGGCTTGGGCCCGCAAAGAAGATGCCATCAGGATACTGGGGGTGCGACTGACAGCAATGGGCCCCCCACCAGAACATGGGGACACTCTAGTCAATATGGCTATAGACCGCCTGGCTAACTGGGAGGGCCTGCACACATCACTCGTTGGAAGGGCCCTAGCAATCAATAGCGCAATTCTGGCAGCCATCTGGTACAAACTGGCAGTCTGGCTATTGACTAAACAACAACATACCAGGCTGAGGAAAGCCCTTACGGCGTACTTGTGGAAAAATAGTGTTAAAGCTCAGGGTTGTCTCAATAGGGTGAAGTGGGACATTCTTACCCAGCCTAGGTCTAAAGGGGGATTGGGAATCCTGGATCCAGAAAAACAGGCCGAGGCCCTCATCTTCAAAGTCCTCGTCCGGCTACTCATAGGAAACGACATCC